AAATATCCAGCAATAAAAGGGGCGGTTTCGACATTCGTTCGACAACATTCAAAAATTGACAAAAGAAATACTTACGAACATGAATACTAAGCATTGTATATATTCTCTCGTTGAACAGACTTAATGAAAAATTTACCAAAAATGATGCTCTAAAGCTATAGCAAATAAATAAATTGTTCACGCTTGCGTTTTACGTCGAGTCAATGCGCTTTGTGAAACAAATCATTCGATTAAATTTAGATTTTAGAAAAAAACTACACATTATATCCGGTCTGTTAAGAAAAGAACATGTGTTTTAACCTCTAAACTAATAGCTTATATCCGAAGGTGAACTTTCTCAACTTTAGTGCAACAACAATACCATAAATCACTAACAGATAATTTTAACGTTAATTTCTCCATATCTGATTTAAACTGCACACATGATCGGAAATTCTTAAAATAAATAAGTAAATATGCTTCTTTTTATATACTGGGCTCTCATTTGTTCGCTTTATTAAATATGTATTTTATATTATTATTAATTTTGTAGATAAACGTGTATTGCATGAGCTTCATATGATTGGCAATAACAATCACTGTTATACATCATACCAAATAAAGTTTTAGTCACGTGATTAAGCTTGACCGGAACAGCGTTGTCCGCTTTTACATATTTTAAGTCAAAGTATTTAGAAAACAAAAATAAATTATAAATATATAAACAGTTTCACCATCAACAAAACTCACCTCCTTAACACCACTTAAGGGACATATAGGGCCATTACTGCCGCTTTCCCGTTCAAACGGCTATTAAGTTATCTTGTACTACTTCGCACTAAAAGGGTTTCTAAAAAGAACAGTGTTCGACTGCAAGGTCTGCTGTAAAAATGTGTAAGCCTAAAGTATCACAGCACAAATAATTTAAACCAAAAACTCGAAATACAAAAATAAAGTGCCGAAACTAATGACAATGTCAGAAATAAATAAATAAATGTAACAACTTGACATTTTTTATCACAGAGCTTTGAATACCCAGCGGAAAATTTTAATTCCAGTTAGTCAGCCCGGAGCCGAATATGTCCATGGTTAGCAACAATGAATTTAAAAATTGCGCCCTCGATTACGTAACTAAAAGTTTAATTGGTATCGCTTATATTCATATATCCTCACGATTCAAACATTAAATGTCATTCCCGCACTGGATTGCAACCTAATACAACTTTTTCATAATATCCTATTTATTTGACGCAATAAAAAATTGTCAGGTTTGTAATATGTTTTTATTTTGTTACAGAATGCATTAGATCTCAGTTTACCCGCCAGCCCTGTCCTATTAAAAAGCCGCAGTACCAATTGGTTTCAACTTAGTGGACACCCGGACAGTTTAGCGCCGGCTGGACCAGGCACGGTGTGGAAAAAACGTTCCCCCAATTCCGACGACACCGAAAGAATCGTTTACGAGGAGTTATGCCAGGACCCCATACTTAAGGACATCGTACCTAAATATTACCGCGAAGTAGAATACCAAGGAGAGAATTTCATCGAGTTACAGGATCTTCTCCATGGTTTCCAGGTAGGTTTTGTTTATACTCGTATATAGTCTGTCCAACCGCAATGGACCCAAGGCCTCCAAGTGAGGGATCAAACATGATCCCAAACCCCAGCAACCTAACCTAACCTTGAGATGTCAGAAATTTTCTTAGCTCTTAGTTTACTCATAAAGGAGAAAACTACTAGAATACGTTCTTTCACCGGACAAACTAAAATACACCTAAATTTAACGCTAATCTCTATTAAGACAATTTCTAAAATTTCTGAGAACTTTAATGAGTTCAATTGTTCATATATGTATTTTTCTTTGCAGGACCCTTATGTAGTTGACATTAAAATGGGAACCAGAACTTTCTTAGAATCCGAAGTACGTAAGACTGTAGCCAGACCTGATTTGTATCAAAAAATGGTAGCTATCGATCCTCAAGCCCCGACCGAAGAAGAGCATCAAAACAAAGCGGTAACCAAGCTGCGTTACATGCAGTTCAGAGAACTACAATCGTCCACCTGCAGCCAAGGCTTTCGATTGGAAGCGATGAAATGCCGAGGATCGCCGCCAGTTACGGATTTGAAAAAAGTCAAATCCAGAGACGAAGTTCTGAACACGCTGGACATGTTCCTCGCGGGTAGAGAGGACGTAAGACAAAGACTGTTAGCTCGACTTTGCGAGATTAGAAGTAAAATAGACCAGTCCGAATACTTCAAGACGAGAGAAGTAATTGGGAGTAGCTTGTTCATCATCTACGACAATTCGAAAGTGGGAGTTTGGCTCATCGATTTTGCGAAAACTAATAAGTTACCCGAAGGAAAGACTGTCAACCATCGCACGCCATGGGTACAAGGCAATTATGAGGAAGGATTATTATTTGGATTTGATCGGCTTATTTCGGTTAGTATTAATATTTTTTATTATTCGGGAAACTCCAAATTATCACTAAAATTCATTTCTTAATGATGAAATTGAATGAATTATGATAGTGACATTTGTTATCGGTCATTTTAGTTCAAAATTCGCTATGATCTATCAAATATTATATAGCGATCTGGTCATCGAAACTGCGTGGTCTGGATTTTAACATATAAGACAGCGATGTAAACAGCTTAATGGAAAATTAAATGCAATAAAAATAGATAACAGTTGGGTTGGTACATTTCTTCTATGGATTTCCGGATTTTTCATCAAAATTTCAAACCGCACAAGTAGGCGTTTACTAAAAATGTTGCATCTAGGCTTGAAACTTTATTTTTCACAATTAATAACTCATTTTACTACAGCTGTAATAGATTATATTTAGCTTATATAGAGTATCTGCATTTCAGTAGTATACATGAAAGTTTTTAAAATAGTTTTTTTGCTACACACCTTTTCCTACACACGTAAAAACCGGCAACACTGTATGCCGCTTTTTACTATGTCTCTCTGTCTGTCAATCGGTCATTTATATTTATCTCTGTCGCATGCATTAAAATACAGACCAAGCAGATGAAGCGACCAGGGCTAGTATCTATCCGATAAAACAATATACATATCTCGTCATGCTAAATCTGTGGTCTGGATTTTAATG